GTTTCCCTGTGGTCTGGCTTTCTTCTGGAAGACCATGACTCTGGTCTTGTCCAGATTGACTGTCAGCCCCCAGGTCTGACAGTACTGCTGACACACTCTCACACAAGGAAGGGCTGTAAGAATTTAAATGCAATGTTTCATAACGCTGGGGAGTCTGGTATTGACCCCAAGCACAAAGAGTGCCGATTCATGGGAAATCACATTCTGAGCTTTAGATATTCAAGCCGGGGGGCGGGGGGGATACAAACTTGAAGTTTGTATGACTATTCGAGTAGCTGCCCGTGCTATAGACACAGGCCTTATGTTTGATGTGTCACTTTGCTGTGCTCGGTACCTTCAATCACAATGAGAATCATTCAAAGTGAGCTGGGGATGTGCTGAGAGGTGTATTCACACAGTGGAAGACATAGCATTGGGAGAGGAAACCCTTCACACCTAAGGCAAATGGGACTTACGTAGACAAAAGGTAAAAATGAATCGCTTCTGCTTGCTCTACTTTGTTGTTTCCCTCATCACGAACGTTACTCGAAGCAGCAGTAGTGGCAGAAACAACACTGATAGTAGTAGCAGTAGCAGGTCTCACACATGTCAGCAAAATCATGTCTCTTGCTGATACTGGCTGAATGTTATTTTCTTCCATGTGTTCCAAGACTGGGAAATATTGAACCATGGGCCAGTATGGTTGAGTAGTGATTAGAATTGCTGCCTTGCAGGGCTGGGGCCCTGAGTTGATGCTGTCCGTGTGGAGTTTGCATGCTCTCCCTGGGTTCGTATGGGTTTCCACCAGGTGCTCTGGTTTCCTCCCACAAACCAGAGACATACTGGTAGGTTAATTGGCTTCTGTGTGAGTGTGTGTCTATGTGTGCCCTGCGATGGACTGGTGTCCTGACCCGGGGGTACCCTGCCTTGTGCCCATTGCTTGCTGGGATAGGCTCCAGCTCCCTCATGACCCTGTATTGGAAGAAGCAGTTAGAAAGTGGGTGCGCGATGTTTTTTACTGCTGGTGAAGAAAGTGGCGTGAAAGCGTTTGTCACACACACAGAACGAGGGCTGCCTTTGAGCTAACAAGGGCAGCTGTCTAACCCAGGACAACGTGTGTGACAGTTCACTGAAGTGACTCTGTGACTGTTGCCCTGCAGGCAGCCGTACTGCGGCGTGGGGCTGTTCTGGATAGGCTCCCTCCTCGTCAACATGATCGTCTTCGTGCCAGGAATCGTCCTTGGTAAGGAAAGCACTGCGCCCCCGATCTTGGGCAGGCAGCCGCAGGATCAAGGAAAAATAATCCGATCAAACTCTGAATGACACACAGGGTCAGTAGCGTCCGGTCCGATGAAAAAAAATCTCCAACGGGAAAACTGGCCCTGGTGCGAGTGTGTGTGTCTGTGTGTGCCCTGTGATGGACTGGTGTCCCGTCCTGGGTGTACCCCGCCTTGCTCCCGTTGCTTGCTGGGATAGGCTCCAGCTCCCCGCATGACCCTGGACTGGATGACCGGACGGATGGGATGCGTGGAGCTCGGTGGGGGACGACGGCGCCGACTCACGCTTTGTGCAGATGATCTTGGGGTGGTCCCACCTCCCGTTGCTGCGGCACCTGGCGGTGGGGACGTGGCGCTGCAGGAAGCCGTCGGCGCACTGGTACCGCACCACCGAGTGGATGTCGTAGTGCGTCCGCTTCCGGCCGATCAGGAAGGCGTTCTCCACGGTGGGCGGGGCTCCGCACAGCACTGCCGGGGGACAGACAGACGGACATTGCGGTCAAGCTGGGCTCTCGAAAAGATGCCGAGTGTGCACGAAAAACATAAGGAAGGCGGGCGCCTTCAACTGACGGGCACCACGTACTGGCGTGACCCTGACAGTGACTGCACCCCACTGCACAGAAAGAGCACGTAAAAGCTCGCTGCACAGTAAAGAGCAGAGAGAAGAAACAACGTTTCAGCTGTTGAGTCTTCTTTGTACCTGCAGAAGGGCTGGTGTGAAGATGTGAAGGAACCTGACGGGGTCTCAACAGCCAAAACGCTGCGTTTCTTCTTCTTGCGTGTTGTTCAGCGTGACTCGTTGACTTTGCAGCCGACACACACTGACACCTCACGCAGCTTGAATTTGATAAAGAACCTGGTTCGCCCGCGCAGGTACAGTGGTGGTGTACAGGCGTGTATTTCAGACACGGGACTCGCCCGGACTGGGCGCATCTCACGCCACACAGCTTTCTGGGTTGTTTCGCCTCTGTTGCAATGCTTGGCAACGGTCAAGTAGACTCGGGCTTGCGAGACTCGAAGACGAGCTCAACAGGAGAAACAAATCACAGCATCTCGGCAGCAGGAACGAGAGAAAGCCACTCATCGGGTGAGCCCGGTGATGGGATGGGAGAGGGACAGGCTGAGACTCAAGTATTTCTCTGAAACAGCATTTTCTGCGACGTGGGAGGGCAGAAAATATTTTTTTCAGGAGGACAGGTGGCGGCTTCGGGGGCGAAACTCTGCTCTGCCCGCTGCAGCGCGTTTGAATGTCAGCAGTGGGGTCTTCCGTTTACCTCTTTTAAGGGAAACTACCACGCTGCTGTTATCTTTTGGTGGCTAGAAAGAATTAGCATTGATGAGCGCATTTCAAACCACGATAAAAGTAAAATGTACACTGTAAGTTGCAAAATCCCCAATTTACCTCCCAAAATAGACTAAATTTCCAGGTGTGCACAGTGCCATATTCTGCGATTCAGAACTCGGCAAAAACCGTCTGGTGACGTGGAGCGGCCTTATGACATTGTAAACCAGCGGGCTTGTGAATACGTCTCTTTTAATCCAATAGAAATACTGCTCTCGACTTCAGGACGGTTTTACCGATAAATAGAACTTAACAATGCATGTTGATCACGTTGGAAACTTTCTGCTGTGAAATATCTGCTGCATAACCTGTACTTATTTGCTCATACTGTACATCTCAGTACATTAGTCATCACTGGGACTAGTGAGCAGGAAGGGCAGCATCACATCACAATTTGTGGGAGCTTTCGCTCTCGTCCGTAGTGAGACTAGGGTTTTCAACAACATCTTGAGTTACAGCACTTTCACAAAAAATCACGATTTTGTGCTTTGTTTGAAATTTGAGATTTTTCTATGCATGTAATGAATTTATTTTGTTACTGAGATTTAATGAGTGGTCTGAGAAATTGGGACTGCAGTTCCCCTTCAATTGCAAGTATTTCAGGTAACCCCTTTCCTTTGTAAGGGAACATTGAAGCTGGCTTAATTAAGTCATTAAGGTGCTATTAAGCAATGAGGTGTTTGTTGATCAAAGCCCTACAGTGGCACACAGTGTCACCTGCAAGGCCAATCTCGATTTTATTAATGCAATTAAAACGAACCAAAACCCGAAACAAAAACATCAGGCAGGCGATTTCAAAGGCTTGAGCGATTTCTCTCTACTGAAAGGCAATGACATCAATTACATTTCCCTAACATGCTGAAAATTCAAAAAAAACTTTCCACTTGAGTCAAATTCTGGATGATATTTATACTTCTAAAAAGTATTTCAACTGGAAAAGATGCTTAACTGAAAGAGATGTAAAGTTGTTTTTTTTTTAATTGCAGATCAGTTTTTGATCTCTGTGTCACTTGATATTTTTTTTACCTGCTTGTCAAGATAACAGAATTTAAGGCTTTAAAGCCACCGCGGAGAAAAACGTGGCTGTTTATTATTCCACACAAGACCCGTTTTAATTTTTCAAAGAAAAAACAGATTTCTGCGTCTCTGAAACCCGCAACCGTCCCATACATGCAGTACCACACATGGTCCCTAGATGGCACCCTTGTTGCTACAGAACAGCACCATTAGGATTCCTGACTACACCGTCAAATATGGAGACTGACTTGTACAGTAAGGTTCTTGGCTGTATGATGTGATTTTGAGCCTGCAGACTGCAGATGACCAGCAATTAATTTTAAGACAGTGCCTTAATCCCAGGAGCCAGAGATGATCTTCCACAAGGCCCAAATACAGAGCGTTCCCGCCTACGACACATTAGCATTACTCTTTATCAAGCCAGTCAGGAGAGAATGTCATTAATCCAGGAGCTGGATTTCACGCAACATTTGCGGCCAAATTAATCCTAAAAAGAACATCCTGGGATGTCTGTCACACAGACTAATTGTGGGAAT